GCCTCTGTTAGGTCCCTGCCATTTTGGTCCTTTATCATGCCCATCTTTGCATGAAATGTTCCCTTCATATCTACAATTTTCTTGAAGAGATCTCTGGTCCTCCCTATTCTATTGTTTTCTTTTATTTCTTTGCACTGTTCATTTAAGAAGACATTCTTACCTCTTCTAGCTATTCTCTGGAATTCTGCATTCAATTGGGTGTATCTTTCCCTTTCTCCCTTGCCTTTCGCTTCCCTTCTTTCTTCAGCTATTTGTAAAGCTTCCTCAGACAGCCATTTTGTTTTCTTGCATTTCTTTTTCTTTGGGATGGTTTCAGTTGCTACCTCTTGTACAATGTTGCAAACCTCTGTCCATAGTTCTTCAGGTATTCTATCAGATCTAATTCCTTAAATCCATTTGTCACCTCTCCTGTATATTCATTAGGGATATGATTTAGGTCATACCTGAGTGGCCTAGTGCTTTTCCCTACTTTCTTCAATTTAAGCCTAAATTTTGCAACAAGAAGCTCATGATCTGAGCCACAGTCAGCTCCTGGTCTAGTTTTTACTGACTGTATACAGCTTCTCCATCTTTGGCTGCAGAGCACATAGTCAATCTGATTTCTGTGTTGACCATCTGGTGATGTCCATGTGTAGAGTCATCTCTTGGGTTGTTGGAAAAGAGGGTTTGCTATGACCATCATATTCTCTTGACAAAATTCTACCAGCCTGTGCCCTGCTTCATTTTGTACTCCAAGGTCAAACTTGCCTGTTATTCCGGTTATCTTTTGGCTTCCTACTTTAGCATTCCAATCCCCCATGATGATGAGGACATCATTTTTTGGTGTTAATTCTAGAAGGTGTTGTAGGCCTTCATAGAACTGGTCAACTTCAGCCTCTTCAGCACCAGTGGTTGGGGCATAGACTTGGACTATTGTGATGTTGAATGGTTTTCCTTGGATTCGAACTGAGATCATTCTGTCATTTTGGAGGTTGTATCCCAGTAGTGCTTTTCCTACTCTTTTAGTGACTATGAAGGCTACTCCATTTCTTCTGAGGGATTCTTGCCCACAGTAGTATACCTGATGGTCATCTGAATTAAATTCACCCATTTCTGTCCATTTTAGTTCACTGATTCCTAAGAGGTCGATGTTCAGTCTTGTCATCTCTTGTTTGACCACATCCAGCTTGCCTTGATTCATGGATCTTACATTCCAGGTTCCTATGGAGTATAGATCTTTGCAGCATCGGACTTTTCTTTCACCACCAGATACATCTGCATGTGAGTGTCCTTCGGCTTTGACCCAGTCACTTCATTCTTTCTGGAGCCCTCTGCTCTTCCCCAGTAGCATATTGAACACCTTCCAACCTGAGGGGCTCATCTTCCGGCATCATATCTTTTTGCCTTTTGGTACTGTCCATGGGGTTTTCATGGTAAAGATACTGGTGTGGGTTGCCATTTCCTTCTCCAGTGAATCACATTTTGTCAGAGCTTTCTGCTATGACCTGTTCATCTTGAGTAGCCCTGCACGGCATAGCTCATAGCTTCATTGAGTTACGCAAGCCCCTTTGCCACGACAAGGCAGTGATCCATGAAGGAGTTGGATTCAAATTACCAGTTTCTAACCACAGGGTCATTTTTTGGAAAAAAAAATAGGGTCCATATAAATTTATCTCAGGCCAACATGCTTTTAGCAAGCCAGATTTTTAAAATGGTAAGTGCCTGATGGCTTCCGAGCCAATAGTAAGTCCAAACATTCAAAATGAACTAGTTCCTGTGTCCAATTATTAAAAATCTCAAACCTCTAGGTTTAAAAAGGGATCCATTTATGGTGAAAAATCCAAAAGTTAACAACTGGGTCATTTCTTGATTAGTACCAACTATAACACACACACACACACACACACACACACACACACACAGAGAGAGAGAGAGAGAGAGAGAGAGAGAGAGAGAATGAGAACACAACCTTTTGGATTTTCCAGAACTCTCCTTTAAAGATGTTAAACAAATGACAGTAGGGTGGAGAAAGAAGGCTTGGCATGTTGTTTTGCCCCAGGCCTACAGTTTGTAACAGATCTTATACAACTCTGATATGCTGCACTGTTATCTTCATAGTATAATATTTTTCATCCATCAGCAAATAACAAAGATGTGGATAAGAAGATCTTCCACCATGTGGCACAATTAATGAGAAGAACCAGCTCTCTGCTTTCACTGTTTCTCTCCAGCTAGTGAAAGGTGGAAATATATAGAAACAGGTCCTCTCTCTGATATACAGGATCCAGTCCACTTAAGGTTTAAAGAGATATGTGGATAAGTAGATAAGCAGTCAGTACTAGTATAATTTTATTAACACTCATGAGTAATTCAATTGCAACTTACTCCTAGGTACTAGTATATGGCAGGAATGGGGAATCCCTAGTGGCTAGAACTCTTCTGCCTCCTGGCTTGGTGGTTACCTGAGTCTTAAAAAGGAAGTGCTGGGGGAGAAATTCCCCTGTGGAGAAAGGGAAAGTGCAGCTAAAGGTGGTCCTTGGCTGAAGCAGTAGTGGGAGAGCAATGGCAGATGAGTCCATGCCCTGCCCCCAACAGCATTTCTCTTAGTGCACCACTGTCATCCTCAATTGGGGAGTGGCACAGTAAATGCATCACCTGTGATGCATCATTTCCAATGGGGGAGGCCACAGGATACAGGCAGTTGGTCCTTGTCCAACCTCGCATCAGAAAGCTCCAGCAACACTACTTCAGTCAGGTGCTAATGATGGCATGAGCCCATGTACTGTACCATGAAAACAATGGATAGGCAAGTACTCAGGTGAGAAGCTGAGCCTATTTGCATAGCAAATAGCCTATTTAGGCAGTACAGAGAAGGGATAAATGGAAGGGGGAAACCACAATGTGAGCTGATGTGGCCATGCCTACTGATGTCATCTGCTCAGCAGGGAGAGAATTTAGCCCTCTGCCAAAACCCTGCTCCTCACTCCTTATTTATAGCATTGTAGCAATATGCTTGTTGTGTCTTGCCCCAGTCAGGAGGTAAACCACAGAGTTCTGCATTAATTACAGCCCCAGGATAGCAGGCACATTTAGAAGAAGTCAATTCCACTGTGAACTCATCCATGTAAACATATTTGGATGATTATAACAGTGCAGGTCCATGATTAGGCTGAATAAGTTGAAGAATGCTACTAATAGTGACATATGTGTTACATGTTTTCAGCATCTACGGCTCATGTATATGATAGATAAAGAATATTAGTGTAGAACCATGGAATAACTATTATCCACTGTTCAGGACAGTAGGTTCTATGAATATAGATTAAAAAAACAGAATTAATGTCCACCATGATCAACATCTAAGAGTTGAGGAAGTTGTCAGTATTTTTCATAATAGCTCAAATGATCTGGAACAAATGGACAGAAATATGAATCTAGGCCTAATTCACTTACTACAGCATTTTTGCTGCCTAAATCAAAAAGGCATCAAGATATATGTAATATGCTCTCTCCTTTGCTTTGAGAAGGTACCTTATTCAAAAAATGTAAGTTATCAATTTTGAGGTAGTTGGATCTTGGGTGAAGGGAAATATATAGAATTCAACAGAGTATAAACTCTAGCTATGGCATTCAAATAACTCCTGCTTCAAGAATATTTATTTTCTGTGCAGAGAGCAAAGTACATGGAGTCCATTCATCCTTCTTTGCTGCAAAATACAAGGAGATACAGGGTTCAGTTAGAGTATCTTTTTGCCCAACTGAATTATTTCCCCTGCACAGGGGGACAATAACGAAATCTTCCCACAGCCCCAGAAGCTGCCTCTTCCACTCTCTAGAGTTTCATCTATGGTTTACAGAACTGCCCCTTTTCCCTTTCTGCGGACCTCTCTAGCCAGCTTCGCTCGCTCCTCCTCCTGAACTGTGCAGCCAATCAGCAGGGGCATCCCTCGCCACTCGGGTGTGGCCTGAAACGACTCGGATCCAGGAGTGCTATAAAAAAGCATCAAAGGGAACGGGGAACTAGTATAACACAAATGTTCATGAGGGCTGTTGGGTGTAAATTGATGCGAAACCTCCCGTAAAGAGCGGAGTTCTTTTGGGAGGAGGCGAACCTTACTCACCCTACCCTTAGCAGGGGGGAAAGCAGCCCGGTTGTGGGGAACAGTGCTGTTACTTTGCAAGGGTGATCATGCTCCCTTAAGTTCCCAACTGATGGGTAACCCACTTGTTCAAATTAAGTCATCTTTGCACACTGATTCCTAGAAACACTGAATCGGAAGCCGAAGTCAAGGGGCTTATATTTATTGATCCAGACTGTAGAAAAGACTGCAGTTGGGATGGGTATATCCTGAGGGACCTCCCCTGCACCCGCTATCCAATCTCCCCTCAGAACTGCTCAGGTGTGCTCCTTCTGGAACTGGAAGGGAAAGCTTGACGGAAAGCAAGACTTCTGAGTAAACGAGCACAACCTGGACTGGGGGGAAAAAACAAACGTGAGGACAACAGAAAAGTGCGGGCGCTTGCCGCCGCCCCTCCTGCTGCTGCTCGTCCTTGCAAAAGTTGCCCCTTCGCCCGGGCTCCCTGCTCACCTTTCTCCTCAGGTGTCACTTGCGGCTGCAGCACCGAAGCGATTCCGTCTCCGGGAGACTAGCGCGAGGCAGGGCTAGTTCCCGCCCATTTCCCCTCCCACCCGCTTCATTAGCTGCGCGAGGAGAGAGCTTCTTGGGGTTCATGTTGTTGTTATTACCTCCCCAGGATCGGGCTCTGAAGCGAGGATTCGTCAATACGAAGCAGATTGCCATGAGCTCCAGTAGCAAAGCCCTCGCAGCTCTTCGATTTGTGTAGCGTTTGGTATTATTTTGTTCTTAATATTGTCGTGATTATGTTGAGGGACTCCACTGCTAACTTGCCCGTGGGAGTTTACAACAGAAGAGTGAGGAGCGAGGGGAAGAAAGCATTTTAGTGTGTGTGTGTGGGGGGGGATTCTCCCCCCCATTGCATGCAATTTAGCCTCCACCGGCGTCCATCCCTTCTATCTGCTGCAAAGCCCGTCGGCGTTGGGGGAAACAACGCGGTGAGCAGAGCTGATATTGCTCTCCCCCGCTCAAGGCTTTGCCCTCTCGGCGAGCAAGCGTGCATTTGCTGCTTCTGCGATAGGCGGACGTCGGCGGTCGCAATGCAGTTTCGTGCGGGCGGCGGAGGCGGCGGCGGGGAAAGAGAGCTTTTGAAAGCAGCGCAGCGCGGGGCTGGTGGCGGCGACGGCGGCTCTTTCTGCTTCTTCTAGCCTGGAGGGGACGGGATTCCAATATGCGGTGTTGAAGACGCTACGGGAGGAGAAGACGACAGGAAAGCAGGCACCGAATCGCACAGGGCAGGGCTTGTCTGTCAGCCCGTCTCTTAGCTGACTCAAGAGGGGCTCGGCTCTGCCTTGAGAAGGGGCGGCCAGCGCAAGCCCCTCGGCGGGACTTGCATCTCCGCCCTGCCACTAGGAGGGCTGCTAAGCCGACTTTGCTTGCGGATCGGGCTCGACGTCGTCCTTTTCCTTCGCTTCGTTCGGGGATTTTGGTTTAGCCTTGGACTTCTTGGACCTTGGAAGAAGAGGAGGAGCGGGAACGTTTTTGCCCCTTCTCTCCCTCTTCACCTTCGGAGGGGGAAGTTCTTGGGGTTTTTTGTTTTTGCAGATCGGTGGCTCCTTGGGGGGATCTGGTAACGACAGAAAGGGAACGATGAAGCTGCTGGTGGCGCTGGCTTGGCTCTGCCTAGTGCTGCTGGTTCTGCTGCTCCATCTCGGGGAGGTGGCGCCGCAGCCTTGCCCGGCTCAGTGCTCCTGTTCCGGTAGCACCGTGGACTGTCACGGGCTGGCGCTACGGAGTGTCCCGAGGAACATTCCCCGCAACACCGAGAGGCTGTAAGTCTCCCTCCCGATCTCCCCCTCTTCCCCCAGATCCCAGTTGCAAGGAGCCTGCCATCCTTTTCAAGCACCTAGTTGCTATTTTCAGAGCGTGGAAGACCCCCCCCCCCCACAAAACTAGCTGAGGAGGGAACCTGATGCTCACACCTTCTCTAAGGGGCTTCCCCTGTTCCTTTTAGGGCGCTGCTTATCTCATTTTGCTTTTTTCCAAAGGAGCTTGGCACCCCCTTCGTGATAAGAGATGCTTGCATATATGCTATGCAGAGCAGCAGCCTTTGGGAGTGTTGCACGCTTGAAGTTTGAGAGCTTTATTTTTTTCTAAAGATCCAGCTTTGACTGTTCAACGTTTATTTAATAATGCTTTCAGTAATTCTTTGCGGGCTCCTCCCCAACAGCTCATATGTTTCAGACAGGCCTGTTTTGTTGTTGGTGCTAGTGGGGGAGAAGCTCTCTTTAGGACTTGCATCAGGTTCATGAGTGCGATACCTTCTCCAGACATTTCTTATTGCTTTACTCTGCCTTTTTTAAAATACACGCAGAGAGCCATGTCACTTATTTTAGAACATCATAGACACGAAGTGGCTATTCCTTTATATCAGGATAGTACTCATTTGAACAAATAGCATAACTCAGCAGTCATTTCTTGCTTCTGAATTATTGGTCTAGTAACCCAACTTGCCTTCCCCCACCACCTTTTCTTGCAATTCTTATAATGGGTTTCAGGGGTAATGTTAAGAGACATAAAAGAACCAAGCCATTAGTTCCACTGCTTTGCATCCCCCCCCCCCCCGGTAATAAGCAAAATCTGCTGCTGCGGCTTCTGCTGCTGGGTAATTTGGGTCAGGAAGAGCCCATGTGTGAGATGGCCCTTTTGCTGCTCTCCTCCATGTTTCTCCCCTCCCCCCATTTGAAAGACGTACTTCGGATCCTGGGGAAATGGCTGTAGCAAACCGCTTGTAGATAACTCTTCAGGGCAACTTCAGTGAAGGCTTTTGAACTGGGAGGAGTAGCTTTTAATCCTTTAGCATGTAGTTGCATCAAACCCAAGCAAACTGGCCAATACAAGATTCTTTCCAGCTTATTTTTGTCCTTTTCCCTTGTATCTCTTTTTGTCCTTAAAAAAAAAAAATCCTTCCCTCTACAGGGTTAAAATCTGTGCTAATCTTGGAAGGAGGCCCTTATATGATCCAGGCAGAGGACTTCCAGGAGCAGGAAAATAAGAAAATTGCTGTTGAAAATATTCCTTTGTTGGAAAGTTTAAATTCTTCCCGCAACATTTGTTTTAGTCCTATAAGTTGGTTGAAGGTAGAGAAAGACTGACATACTATTAGAAGACAGACATGACAGACATGTACTACACTAAAACTGTAGGTTTAGGATTCTGTTATTTTTAGCTGTGCTTCTAAAAACATCAGAATGCTTGCCCCTTGCTCTCACAGCGCGAAGTTTATTATTCCAAATTGAGCCAAAATATTGAGAAAGGAGGGGTACCTAGTACCTACTTCAGTGTTTAAAGCTTAAGTCAACCATGTACTTGTTGGCCATTAAAATCCTTCCTGAGTGATTAGTTCTTCAAAACACTTTAAACTTGTTTGTAGCTTTTATTTTTGGGTTTTAAAAATAGACAAACTTTTTAACAGTGTTTTATGGAAAGTGAAATTTCAGACTGACTCAGTGTGAAGAAGAATGTGTAGATCACTTAAGATTCCTGCCACTTTTTCTCAGCCGAGTGTGCTGATTCCCACCACCTTTCCCTCAAATAATAAAAGTGGGCTTAAAGGTTGGTTTCCATATAGGCTGTTTCGTATAACCTAGTTCAAAAGGTGTGATTGGTTTATTTATGGAAGGTAGTTATGAGACACCATTCATAATACTTATCCTAGGGCTATTTATACTGTTTTTTTTAAAAAAAAATCACACTGAAGTCCATATTTGACTCTTATTTAAACTACTACCTAAAATGGCCTGAATTGAAATTCAGAACTGAAATCCAACCATAAACATTATCTGTTAACGCAGTTTACATGGTATAGGTATTGTAAAATTTCCAAGACTAAATGAGGAATTTATTTGTTTAACTTAAAGATGGGATTATTGAAAGAGCACAAAATTTAGATCATGTTATTTTTAACCTTCTAAATGTTTGCTTCAGGAAGCTTAGCTGTGTAAGTACAGCTGGGGTTTTAGGAATGCTACAGAATTGATGATGCCTTTGAGAAAAATCTTGGGCCCTGGGAAAGCTGTCAAAGATGTTTACTGCCCACTTCCTCCCTGCTCCCCATTTGTTTGACCCCCCCCCCCCCATGCCAAGGCTCCTGCCAGGTTTCCTTCTGGGGCTTCTGTGAAGAGTGGAAAACCTTGCAGTAGTCAGGGCACATGGCTTGAAGTGGACCAAGAAATTCTCAGTATACTTCAGGAACTGACCTCCCAAATATGTAATGAAGGAAACATGTCTATTAAATTCATTCAACTTCAGTTTGCCCAGATGCAGTGGTCTAGTTATTAATCATAACTTTTGCTTTCATGCAAATCTGTGAATGTAACATTTCAGGGTTATCAATTTTAATGCTTTTTGATAAATTAGATATTACGGGTAAAGGACATCTGGCAAATCAATTTATCTTTTGGAAATTAACCCCCCCCCCCCTTTAAAGGCAGCTTTCAGGAATTTGTACCAAACTGAGGTTAAGTACTAATCCTTAGATGTATTAAAAGTTCTTGTTTAGTTATTAAAAACTTCATCCACTAAAGGCTATAGCCAGCAGTTTTAGAATTCTTAATTTTATTACTGACATGTTCTTCTTAGGGACCTTAATGGAAATAATATCACAAGGATCACCAAGACTGATTTTGCTGGCCTAAGGCACCTTCGAGTTCTGTAAGTTGTTTTTGTTGTTACTATAGTATACTGAAGATATACAGTCTTTAATGAACAAGAACAGTCTTTATTTCATTTCTTAACCTGTAACGTAATGATATTAAACTTACATTGTATAAGAAAAAGCAGTTGGGAGATGACCTAAAAGTTTGGAAAAATGCCTTAGTAGGAATGCCAGGCACCTCTGATTTTTTTTTTCTTGAATCTATAAATTACACAAATATCTACATGTTTTATAATTTTAACAAGCCATATGGAAAAAATGTTTTCCATTTTAAAATTCCAGTTCAAATAATTTACTTGAATTCATTGCTTTTAAAACATGAACAGAAGTTTAGTATAGAAGGACATGCAGAAAGGAGGATCTTCAGATGTAACTTCTAGAGTGTAAATCAATGTTCACAGAATTTGAACAAGTTTAATTGTGTTTAATTTATACACAAGTTTTATTTAGGTATGTCACTTGTGTATAAATAATAGTTCTGTCCTATAGTTAGTGATACATTTTTGTTTCATGCAACTCCTTTGGGACGACTGCTACTTTTTCAGTGAAGATAACTCCTTTGAGCTTAGAACTAACAGACAAGTGTTGTAAATTGGCGTAATTGTAACCAATAGAATTAATTTTTATTTACCTTTTTAAGGTTAGAAGTTACAGATTTGTCTTGTTTGAAGAAAAAATTTCACATTGAATCTTTTGCTTACAGAATAACATTCTGTTGATATTTGTGAAATGTACTTTCAAGAACTAAATAAGAAAACATCCTTTACATGGTGTTGTGCATGTTTAGTATACTCTCGTATTGAAAAGAAGGCTTTGCCTTTTTCCTTAAAGGCATATATTTTCTTCACCTCTGACCCTTCAAGTTCTTGAGCAGCTTTAAGTTCTCTCTTTAAGAACAGAGTGTGTTAGTTTCTCTCTTCCTTAAACATAAGTCACAGTGCAGTGGAAGGTGACAGGTCTTAAACACATTGGATGAGAAGTCTGAGAATAGAGTGAGAATTGCAGTTAATAAAGGGGAGATGGTTGTAGGTTTCCCCATTGTTGAAGTGCAGTAATAGGTGTTAATCATTGTTTGATCATTAGATGTTTTAAAACTTTTGCTCTGCATTTCAGTCAACTCATGGAAAACAAGATTAGTACAATTGAGAGAGGAGCATTCCAAGACTTGAAAGAGCTGGAGAGACTGTAAGTATTCTTTTAATTCATTTTGAATATGGCAAAGCAGTTTGTTGTAACTTTCCTTTTCCTTTTGCATTTTTCTACTGTGTTACAGTGATTTTGTTCATACACTTGGTTTACTTATTGAAGGGGAAAAAAATAAAATGCAGCAATTAGTTCCTGCTAGGTATGTGCCATAGGCATAATATAAATTCTGTTTTTGAAAGAGAACATTTACTTGCAGTCTAATGGAAAGAGTCATAGAGAAATAACTTGCCACAGTAAGAACATAAAAATGAATTGTCTGGATAAAATGAGTTGCAACCGTCAAAGCAGTGTAATCTAATAACTGTGTGTGCGCATGTAACTTGCTCATTTATGAAAACTGAAAAATAATAGACTTTTAATATTGGCAGTAGTTAAGGATTTCCTGTAAGTTGTGTGGTGTGGGAAAGCCAACGATTTTGTAAAAGAAATTAGTTGCAGCATTCTAACAATATTAAATGCTGTGATTGCTAAATGTTTGGATTGATATAAGAATGTGAAGAACATAGAAACCTCAGTTGATCAGTTGCAGTATGTAGTAATTCATAATAGAACAGTCTTCACATTCTTTAATGAACAATAAAAGATCACGTGTTCCTCACTTGTTGCACACTGTCCATTTGCTTTGTTAGAAAGTTGAACTTCTGATGTATGAGCTTAGGTAACATGCAGTAGAAGTTTAAGCTGGAGAAAGTGCTTCCATGTAGACATTTCATGAACTAAAATATAGTGGGCTATGTGCTTCTCTATTGTACAATTTTCCTGTGGGATTGTTCTGCTGGACAAATAAAAATGGGAACCAGTAATAAGTTTGCCCTACCAGCTCCACCACTTTAACCCAGCTCACTTTATTAACCTTGTTCCTGCTAGCACTTCCTGTGCAGGGGAACAATTTGAGTAGAGTCAGAATGTATTGGGTCACAGTTTTAGAGAGGGTTCAAACCCTAAAGAATAATAGATTAAGTTTCTGTTTAAGTCATATACAATGAGGATGATACTTCTGTTGAAGAGCTGTCTTGTAAGCTTAACATTATGCTATTTTAAGTTTTCTTCTGTAGTGTTTAGATGTTGTTTATAGAGAATGTAAATGTTTTATGAGGGATTTCTTTATGCTGCATTTGCACAGACATTGTATATGCTGCCTTAAATGAAATATCTGCTAAATCCTGATGTGCAGTTCTTTTGAGTCAATATTTGAACTACAAAAGCTTGCTATTGATGCAATGAAATCAGAGAATAGGGAAGCTTCTGGGACCAATGAAGTACTTGAGTGGAGGACATGGGCTTTCAGGGGGTCAGATTTACCAAGAGACAGCTGCTAGCTGAAGTCCTAAAACACAGAATCTCCAAAGTTTTCTGTTGTAGTTAATGTGAGTAATACAGTTTGAGCATATGTACTCTATGTTAATTTTTGGACATTAGTTTTCCTGCAAAGTCTTTTCTGTGTCTCTCGGAAAGATCAGTTCATTTTATTAGAATGGCCCATTAAAACCTGTACACTAGTTATTAGTTTTTTGGTATATTATTATTATTATTATTATTATTATTATTATAACATTTCTATGCCGCCCCTTGCCGAAACCTCATATGAGCATGATTGAGCCACAAATTATTTTGGTAATTGCATTATCAGAAATGTATGTCCATCCATTTGAATTTGTGGATTGTATCCTAAAGCTTGAAATTGAGTTATGAATATGTAAATATTTTAAATTTACATAAAAATTAGAATATCTGTTAGCATGCAACAAATCATGATGGCAGAGCCATGCATTTTAAGAAAAGATCCTGATTGCGTATAAAATAAAGGAAGGGGGTTGGGATGTATGTGATTTAAACTGCAAATGGAATACATAAGTAGGATTGTTGAGTTCCTTTGTCCCATTCCTCCTCCTATACTCTGTATCCAGAGATCAGTTTTCCCCAGCTGGGTTTCACTATCACAAGTGAGCCAGGTGGAAGAAAAAACAATAGGGGGAGAGTTCACCCTTTGCCTGTGGCTCTCTTGCACTTTAGACTTCACTCTTTTTCTTCTACATCTGACTGTAGCAGATCCTTGTCTAAAAATCTGGGTCTGCTGCCATTGTGAGTAGTTTGACCCTTAGGGCTTAACTTGTGTTTTGATTAATTACTCAAAACATGTAATTCCTTGCCCATAGTTGAAAGCCAAAACTACTTCATTTCTTAAAAGCAATAGTGTTGTGGACAGCATCTCTGAAAAAATGTATACTTCCATGCTCTTGTGCAGATAATTTTGGCTTTGTGGTGACAAATAACAAATTAGAATCATGTGCTATGTTTTGGAACTTGGTCAGAAAATGGAGTAACTCATAAGCTATTTAATGTTTTTGTTTTTTACCCATATTATGGTAATGTCACAGACTTGGGTTCTGTGGAAGGGTTCAAGCTGGGAGATGCAGTTCTGTATGGAAGATGATAGAGTTTTTGAAAGGATTGCTCTTAATAGCTAAGAGAACATATTCCATAACTTGTGAGTAAAATGTGATAGTCTTCATATTGATGACTATCACAAACAAATTGACAACCAATGTTTCTGAATTCAAGCTTGGATTCAGAAGTGTTTCTTCAGAAATTTGCTGATATTTGTGTCAAATATTTCCTTTGTGTATATGTGTAATACTTAAATATCAAGCAGTAAGGATTTTTTTAATACAGAGTTTTCTGTTGCAATTTTTTTAGTTTTGAATTATAATGTTATCTAATGAATGTGAATTCCAGAAGCTGGTGGCTGTATAATTTAGTCTTTAGTTCATAAGTTGGCTGCTTTGGAAATCCTGTCAGTGACAATATTATATAGAGTGGGGAGAGACAAGGGTCCCTGCACCAGAGAATAGGAACCTAACCAAGCAGCTCCAGGACCATATTAGGCTTATATTTTGCCTTTTAGGACTGAAGGTGCCCTGTTGGACCGCTCAGGCTTAACATACAAGAGATTCCAGGTTAAACTCTGTGAGCCTTCTGTAAGAAGAGTGTCTCCTCCTCCGGTCTATTGGAGATGGTGCAGTCAGCCTGCACATGGATCAGTACTTCATTCAAATAGTGTGCAGCTATATGCCCTGGAGAGTTCCCATAGCTCAGTAGTTGAACACTGGTTTGCACACAGAAGGTGCTAGGTTTAGTCCTCCTCATATGTAGGCAGAGTTGGAAAATCTCCTATCTGAGAATATGGAAAGCTGCTGTCAGTGAGGGACAACAGTACTAAGCTAGATGGACCAATGGTGTGACTTGGTGTAAGGTAAGCTTCTTGTGTTCCTTTGTATGGATAGTTGAGTTGAATTTTAATATGTTAATAACCACAGTTCTCTCATGCCTTTCTGCTGAGCTTCTGTTATGCCAAAGATTAGCAAGACTTGTGAAGACCAGTGACTTTCCCTTCAAACTGCCTGGTTGGCTGTTCACAGTGAAGTTCTGTAGGCTTTAACATACTGTTCAGTGGAGTTCCAGAGTTTAAACAACTCAAAACTGTGTTAGCTGGTTACTAGAAGATACCATAAGGGCAGCAATGATACAAAGCCATATATGAATTAGAAAATGAGAATGTCAAACTACCACTTGGAATTGTGCTGCAGGGGGGAGTTGGGGGAAGTGTTTTTGGTATTGGTAAGACAAGTTTGCATTGGCCCATGCCAGCCAGGAATCAGGCTACCATATTCTGAACCAGCTGAAGGTTTGTAGTCTAGAAAACTTTCTTGCAAGCAAGAGTAGATGTCACCAAGGCACAGATAAATGTAGCAAGGCTATCAGTATGTATAAGGGGCCACAGCTGGCATGTCAACCTTAGCTAGTGATAGGTACTTTATGTTTCACATACCACTTGGACTCCAGAGTAAAGACAGTGTTTGTCAGTATGCTCAAACTGCAGGTGATAGTTGACTAATTAATTTAGAACAGGTTGAATGTTAATCTCCCAGCAACTGTTATTTGACTTCATTATATAAAAATATGGAAAGCATTGGAGGATTTTGACAGATAGGTACTATATGAACATAGGAAATGGATACAGGGCACTAGCTTGTTAGTTGTATGTATGATTCTGTTCTTAGAACTATTGGCAGGACAGTGTAGGACAGAAAAGAGATTTCTGGTGTTTTGAAAAAAAATATGGGGGGGTCTATAAACATACTCTATTACCAACATTCTGAAATTCCAAGGATTTGCTGGAATTAAAAATACAGGCAGAATGATGGAACCATAAGGAAGTAGAACTAGGATACCTAGGTATCCCTAATCCTTATGCTTAGAAATGAGAATTCTTATCCCCATGTTGGAGCTAAGACTAATTGAATATTCTGGTTACATGCATCAGATGTAGCTGACTATTTACCAGAACAAAACTTCCAGTTTTCCCATTTGCTGAAGATGGTTTCAGAAGAAAAGTCTCTGCTACTATACAATAACCCATTCAACAGCCTGTCTTATTAGGCCATTCCTGGATTCTGCCACTTCAAGTGAGATATTTTATGATGGACTGCTTCCTGCAAACCTTCATCTCATTACATGAAAATGAGATATAGAAGATAAGGTTTCAGACATAGCCTTTTGTGAGTTTTGAATGCCATATTTACTGAGCTTTTGCTGAAACCTGGTGGGGCAACTTTAGGTATTCTAGTCTCTGGTTATCTGGAGGTGTAGGCTGAAGTGTCCTCAGTATACAGGTGAGATCCAGGGCTATCTTTTTTTTCTCCCTAACAGTAGCTGTTTTGAATTGGCAGGCTGGGAAAGATCATGGACCAGATTAGGGCCAGTAAACTAAGATTCATTCTAGACACAGAGGTGCGATCAGTGCATGGCTTGTCCATCCAACTGAGTGGTGTTCAACCTATTCTGTAGGCTTCCACTATCCCTGAAGGATCAGGTTTATGATTTAGGAGTGTTCTAGAAGCCGATAGACTTGGCAGCATGGAACAATTCAAAGTTAAGACTGACAAACTAATCCCATTCTTGTCTAGTCACAGATACCT